TAACTCTAATACATTTCTTCCAAGAAAAAAAGGGGGGAAAAAATATATGATATTTAACGTGGGACGAGGCTCATGTTGCAAATCAAAAATATGTTATATGACTTCATCATTGCATCATTAATTCTGCAATCGTTCTTCGTAAGGATTATATATTATATTACTGTATATTCTGTATATTGTTTATTGTTCGTTGCATTTATTGCTGCATGCTAAACTTGTCATTGTGTTATGCGAAAGTGATAAAAGTGAAAAAAGAAATGGATGTATAAATCAGTACACATTTTCGGTTATATCTGAATAACCACAGGTATTGAAAATTAAGTAATGATTAGTATAGTGATGATACTGTTAAAATAAAGGCATTAATAGTAAACTCAGTAATGCAGGTGATGCAGAATAATCTAATTATTATCAATATCCCTCGTAGTGTAACCGATGTTGACGTGAGTGATAATAAAAAAATAGTTATAGTCATTCGTACAATTCATGAATAATAAAAATGATACCAGCCTCGGTGATAAGGTTATTAAGAGTACTGGTTGTCATTGTATCTAGTATTGATGGCATTTCCTATTTGATATAGTTCTCATAATGAAACTGTTGATACGAAATGATAGACGTAATGACTGTTGTAATGGTGTTGTACATAGTTACATGTTGACGGCGCAGAAAGTACTGTCGCACTGGTAATGATAATAATAGTGCCACAGAATATTCGTTACCAGATATGTTAAAACTGCTAATTTCTTTATATCGATTAATGATAACAGTGATAAGGTACCGATATAACTGAAACTGGAAGCCTTTGTGCATGGACTATACCTGACGGAAAAATGACACACAATATTGAACGTAAAACAGCTTAACAGTGGTGTATATGGAACGAAAAGCGATCAATATGGGCGTGATCCAAACCGAGAAATTACTCTCCCCCCCTTGTCGGAATCCCCCCTCTCCCCTCTCCCTCTCGCAGTTGGAATCATCCCCCCCCCCCGCACATGCGAAACCCCCTCCCCCTCCCCCTCCCCCTCGCAGTTGGAATATCCCCTACCCCATTGCCACCTCCCCACCCCCTCTCCCTGCTCAGAGCGTTATTGGGGAGGGCGGGGGTGGGGGTAGAGGTGGTGGAGGGGAGGTTGACAGGTGAGAAAGGCAGGTAAGTGAAGTGTTTACCCCAGAGACCTTTCCCGGTGGACTTCTTGTGTAAGCGAAGAGCCGCTTTCTCTCGTTCAAACAGGGGGTTTCCACGTGCGCTCGTGATAAAGTGGCTCGTGAATGGTTTGCGTTTTGTCGAGTTTCGTGCTGAAAGGCTTCTATGCGAAACAGCGAAGGAAAGAAGCGGGAACCGTGCAATTTTGCCCAAGCGTGCGGTTCCCTGTTCGTCTCTTCTCTGTTTTGACTCACGTTTCTCTCTCGCTCATCTTCTTTTCCTTCACCCGCTCTCCCTCTCCTCTCTCATCCTCCATGAGAACAAAAGATACACCTATTTCACCACAAATGAACAGGAACTACGCACATCCATTCATCATGTTAGTTCAGCTCCCCGTCATAACCAGAAACGATCCAAATAGTGCACAGCAACGGATAGCTGTGTCATTACAAAGGTCCCGAGAGGGTAGTCATCGGCGCCGAGAACACAAACAAAGGAAGTTGGCGCCATGGCTCATTGGTGTCCCCCCTCCCCCCCTCCCTTATTCCCTACTCCCCCTCCTCCCCTCTTTGTCCTTCCTCTCCCCTCTTACCCCTCTCCCCTCTTACCCACCCCCTTGCACCCCTCTTTCCCCTCTCCCCTCTTCCGCCCACCTTGCCCCTATACACATAACTTTCGCAATTAGCTATATTTAGGTCAACGAGCTACCCCCTCTTGTGGCTCTAACTAACCTCAAATAAGGACAGTTGGAAAAGGAATAGTAGAATAGTAGAAGTAGATAAATGATAAAAAAACAAAGGGAAAGAGGCGGAGGAAGTACGACATGATATCCTGGCTCCAGACGCAAGCAATTTAAAAGTCACACTTTGAACCCGCGTTGATCGGGATCACAAAACGAGACCTGTCCCAGCTTTGCGTGTCTGAACTCCGTAGCAGGAGAATGGCGCTCAGCACCGAAGGTTTTCCCCAGCTTGATAATGGAGGAATAATTAGATATTTTCAGATCAAGACAGACGGAACGGGAACACAGTCGGTCGAATGCGTAGGGATCAATAGGAGGTTGGCGCGCGTCACCTTTTTCGAACGCACGCGGCCGGCATGGCGCGTTTTAAGGAAACAAACCACTTTTTACATCGAAGTAATGATCTAAGAAATCGTAATAAAAATAATGATATAGGAGGAATTTTGTTATTTCACCTATTAAAATTATGAATACTGTATGATATTTTTTTCCGTAAACCAAAGCAGATCGTGAGGATATTCGTTATCCTTAATAGATATTTCAGGTTTTGAGATATTCCAAACCGAGATTATGCACTTTCCATATTTAATGGCAGCTCATATCGACAT